GTCCAGGAGCTCAGATTTCAGGAAGGCTCGCATTATTGACCGTTGTTGGTGGTTCACTATGCCTTAACTGTTTGTACAAAGAGTATGTTCCGTAAATACCTGCTTTCCTTCCGGGAGTCTGGAATTTGAGTACATGCCAGGCAGAAAGTGCTGGTTGATCAATAAAAACTCTGGGTGCTGAGTCTAAGGAGTCTCCCTGGTTGGCCGCGTTTCACACATCCCTCCACAACTCATTCCGGGGGACTTGCACTGGTGTTCTGTGTGATTCTCCTGAGAGAAGACTCTGGAAGCTGTACCTGGCTCCCCTGGACTTTGCCCCATGGACCCTCTTCCCTTTCCTGATTTTGCTTTATATCCTTTCACCACAACAAAGCGCAGCCTACACACAACCACGTGCTGAGTCCTGTGAGTCCTCCTACCAAACCAGCCAGTCTAGGGGAATCTTAGGAACCCCCTCAAGCCTAAGTGATATTCAGTGGATTGCTGCACAGCATTTGCTGATTTTTAATTACAGGTTGAAAATAGATTTTCTAAGTTACTAATCTTTTTCACTTAATGTATACTTAAATCATCTTAAATCAGAAGTGATAGAGAGGGCAGTCTTGAACTAGAAACCTTGACCATGATATAAACAGGAAAACAGACCACATCTATACCAAACTTCTACAAAATACCAAAAGATATGAATCAAAATATTTATTTAAAAAAAAAAACAACTACAGGGTCTCCTGCTTCACCCAGGCTGGAGTATAGTGGTCGGATGACAGCTCACTTCAACTTCAACTTCCTGGGCTGCAGGGATCCTCCCATTGCAGCCTACCCATTAGCTGGACTACAAGGTGCATGCTACCATGATCAGCTAATTGTTTTTTCTTATTTTTTATAGACATGGGGCATTGCTATGTTGCCCACTCTGCTCTCAAATTCCTGCAAGCAATCTTCCTGCCTTGGCCTCCCAAAGTGCTGAGATTACAGGGGTGAGCCACCATGCCTTGCCTCAAAATACTTTTGTTGATAAAGATGGGCCCTAAAAACAGTATCACAAAGCTAAAGAAAACTAACATAACTTTTCAAACAAAATTATATATCCTAAAATAAGCAACTGGAAATATATATATATATTTTTTATTGAATGGTAACTATGTACATTAATGCACTTCTGCAACTGGAAATATTTAAAAATACTCTTAATCAGAGATAAGAGAACAGAAATGATAAGAGAGTTTTAGGTATATTATACTACTCTTCTCCAATATTCAGTTCCCCTTTTTGCCAACCTAACCCCAACACTGTCATCTAAGATATGAAGAAACCATCAAGCCAAAAATTGAAATCTGGGGACAAACTTTCAGAGGCTTACCCTACTACTTCAAACAAAACGTTAGATTGGATTACAAATTTCTCCACCCTCAAACTGTGCTCACTCAGCACTCTCCCCGTTGCTAAAAACTCTTAACTTCCCCCTTCTGCACCCTTCACTGCTGTTAACTTACCTTCAGTCCTTAATGCTCTCTCTTGCCTATCAATCGCTGACACTCTCAGTTAAACAATAACCCTTCTCTGTCTTTTCTGTTACATTTCATTAAACACCAGTTCTACAGTGTACAAAAATGGCTTGGCATACCTCAAGTTTTCTCCCAATTCAACAGGTATTTTTTTCCCCAGCATTTCACTGAGTGCTGGGGCTAAAATGAACAATAAGCTATAATAACTAGCCTTTGAGGAGTTTATAGTCTTTAGAAAGAGTCACACACACAAGTGCATAGCTGTGATAACCACAGTGAAAGAAGTGTGCAGAGACACAATTCTATAATAATCTTCAAATGTTTAATCTTAAACGTTCATATACTTACCTATTCTAGTCTCAGTTTGTCTTTCTCCCACCATTCCCCTACCGTACTATACACATCGCCCCAACTGAACCGGCAGATGGACTCTTATAACGGTTTCCTACTGTTTCCTCTCCTGCTATTCACGCCCTTCTATAAGCCCCTCTGAGTATGGGTGGGGCCTGTGACTTGCTTCTAAGCAACAGAATATGGTAAAGGTAACAGGATATCACGCCTTGACCACATTACGAGGGACTCTAACTTCAGTCTTGCCAGTAGTCTGTTTCTTGGTGGCTCTGATGACAGTCACACTCAGCTAATAGACAACCAGGAACTGAGGCCTTCAGTCCAACAGCCCACAAGGAAGCGAATCCCACCATCAATCAAGGGGGCGAACTGAGAGGCAGATAATCCCCGAGCTGAGCCTCAGATGAGGCCCTAGTTCTGGACGGCAGCTCTGTGAGAAACCCTGAGCAGAGCAGCCACAGAGCCACATCCTGGCTGGGCCGACCCACAGTGCCTATGCGGTGATCAAGGCGTGTTGCTCTAATTCACTAAGTTCACGCTGACTTATTACGTGGCAGTAAATAACAAATGCACTCCCAGAACACGTTCCGTGGCTCTGTTCTTTATGTCAACTTCCCAGCCCCAAATCCTACACATTTTCAACATCCTGCTCATTTATTTTCTCCCCCAGGTCTTCAATGTCTATTCCTCCACCCCACAAACTTTCTTCATTTAACTCTGCGGCATATTGTTCCTTGTTTTAGCAAACTTTATATGTAATATATTTACATATTTAAGGCCAAGAAAACTAAGTAAATTGAAAAATAAGTTAAGAAACTGAATAAAACACAAAACTATTCTTACCTGGTTAAGATTCAGATTGTTTTCAATACTCAGGGGGATGAGATGAGGCAATACTTTTCCAGCCAGCTGCTCTTTGGTGATCCCCAACTTCTTATGAGTGAAAGTACATTTATAAATACCTGATAGAAAAGAACGTGACACATTTTATAAGTTAACACCATAAATTAACTGAAATCATGAAAACAGTCTATCAGTAAGGTTACAGAATGCCCCCTCTCCTGAATCTAAATGCATAGTTCAGAAATCACAAACTTCAGGCCCCCATTTCCAAGCGTGTAAGGATACCTACAGTGAAAGTGCTAAGTCCTGCATCTTTATTCCCGTCTTCAGCACATCCAACTCAACAAACACGTCTGAAACCTAATTCAACCTCATGTAATCCTCCATTAATTGTCTCACCTATGGACTCAGCCTTGCAGACCCCTCTACTCCTACCGCACAAAGCCTTCCTTTAGTAAAACAAACACATTTCCCCCTCATTCTCTGACTGCCCCTGTGCGCTGTTTTTTATATTACCCTGAGCTTTAGAATACACCATCTCTTATTATGCTGTGAATACACACCTGGCTTATATACCCAAAGAACACCTTTACTAAGCATCTACTAGTGTTCATTTGCTGGGTACTATGCTCGTTACTTTCCCTTTATTTGTTTCACTGAATTCTCACAAGGGTCCTCATAGTGTTATCTATATCCTCGTTTGATAACTAAACTTTTCAAAGTCATCCCAGAAACCAAAGAGCTAAAATTAGAGCCAGGACTTTTTGTATTATAACAAAGTTCTGCTTCTGAAGACAAACTTCTTTGAGTATAAAACATTCCTACCATATCCTAATAGTTCTGTGTCTATAGTGGTCCATCCCCACTAAATATTGGTTAGCCATTCTTACAAATATTTACTGAAAGCTTCCTACGGGCCAGGAACTATACAGGTGTTAAGAAAATACAGATAAGTGATATAACTTTTCCTTAAAAACCACAAATGTAGTAACAAATGAACTTTTTAATGGTTTTCTCATTCAACAGCTATGCCTGGTATGGCAATCCCTTGGCATTTCCAGATTGGACTTTTATAACTTTAATTATATACAAATAATTGCAGACTCTTGACAATAATTTGTAAGAACAAAACGAGCTATGATGCTGTTAAGCTTCCTCAGTGAGTAACTCAGCAATAAAGTATACTAGTTAAGACTTACACATATTACGAAACTGGCTCTGCCACTTATCAGCTGCAGGATCTTTAATCATTTACTTTACCCCTCTGAGCCTGTTTCCCAGTTGTAAAATAGAAATAATAGGCCCCCTCCATCTCACTGGATTTCTGGGAGAAGAAAATAGGACAATGCAGAGAAAATACTTTGCCTCTTACACAGTGAGTACCACATAAACGTCAGGTACTACTACTAAGAACAGCATCAGCATTTCAAGTAGCTCTGTTTGGCTCTCTTTACTTTGTACTCTTTTATGGGGAAAACCATACGCTATCATGAAATCTCGGAAGCGAGGGTTCCCAAACATCTTAGTCCTTTGTACATGTGAAGGTTCTATTACTTTTGCTAAAATTAACACAAAGAGAAAAGTTCTATGATGGCATTTATTCCAACATTCCTCAATTACTGAATGCTATATACACGAAAGGAGAGTACAATGGTTTTATAGACTGGGAAATTTATTTGCATGACTGTAAAACGATAAAGTAGCATCAAATGACATTAAGTTTTTAGCTACCTAAAATTCCCATGAGGACTGCGGGTTCCTTGGATGGAATCTGTTGTAAGAAGGGTAGGATATCATCGAGTACAAACCACTTATCCAAGTATTCCAAGATCTTTCCTAAGCATACTAATGAATTTACACGGACCTGTTAAAAGAGGTAAATTGCATTAGTCATTTATAGTCTTTGACATTAGAACAAAATACTTAAGTGTACATTTAACCTTCATAGAGACATATATGTTAAAATCTCAAGAATAAAAGTAGGTTTAGAAGCTCTGATCCTTTCTCAATACAGACCGTGTATTTTCTAATATGCTTGACTTGTTTCAGAAGAGAGTTTGTGATTGCTTTATCAGGTCACTCGTCAGCTAAAGATGAGAAGTAGCTTCACTTTTGCAATATTCTAAATAAAAGGATTAAGACTGAGAAGCTTTTACCATGTATGTGTTGATGAAGAACATTCCTTTGGGGATATTTGACCTATAAGAGGGGACTGCATTTCCCCCACAAAGTAACCCATTTCACCTGGATTCTAGTATTTTACTCCAGCTTGGGTTCACTTCATTCTTAAACTAAATATTTTAACAACTTATGAAGAGAATTTGTTTTCTCTTTCTATATACACCTTTCATACAATTACTAACACCTGATGTTTAGAATCTCTTACTGAAATTCTATATTCACTTGACTGTTTCGATAAGTATGTCGTACCCTACTTTTCAGCTGTTAATTCTTAATTTAGAAAACCTTTAAGTCAGGATCATAATATCAATAAAACTCCAGCTTTAAAAAAAATAAACTAAGAAAAGCAGAAAATAATTTGGTTGGTTAAACAAGCATCATATTTCTTCAGGAGAAATTTTCCATTTCTAAAAAACAATAGTTTTCTTAAATTCAAACACAAAAGATATCTGAAGGCTTAACTTGTACTCAGAATCAGTTTCATAAAAGGAACTGCTAGATTCTACTGGGATGCATATGTTTTTGAGAGAAACTGAAAATGCCAGTTTAATTTTATTTGCTTTTATGATACACAAAATATCAGTCATGTAAGTCAGGAATAAATAGGGCTCTTGAAGCATTTTACCTAACCATGCAGGATTTTTTTTTTTTTTTTTTACTTTTCAGAGAATAGTATTAAGATACAATTCTAACTCATGATTCAGGAATTTCCTAGTTAGAATTTTTAAACCTTAGAGAGATAGGTCTATGACTGCAGTTCAGGAATTCATTCATGCCACTCTGAGAGGTGGCATGAGCACTAAAAATGTTATACAAAATGCACGTAAAAGGTGACACATAATATATAAACCCATTCCAGAGTTACTGTTCTAAATACATTCCTTACGACTCTATAAGTAACATGTCTTCAAGGGCCAGTTGGTATCTTTTAAAAGAGATATAAACATCACCAAGCATTAATGCCGATCTTTTTTTTTTTTTTTTGAGATAGAGACTCAAGCTACTGTCCTAGGTAGAGTGCCATGGCGTCATAGCTCACAGCAACCTCCAATGTCCTAGGTAGAGTGCCATGGCATCATAGCTCACAGCAACCTCCAATGTCCTAGGTTG